GGGAGAGGGGTCGGCCGGACATAAGGCGCCCCTAGGGAGGCATTCGGAGCCTGGAAGGTGGTCGGGTGCAGGGAGGTGGGCGGCTCGACGCAGGAGCACCCCCTGCTGGCCCGTCTCACGTGGTGGAAACAGCGGAGGGATACGAATACCCAGCTGTGTTCCTGAGGTGGGATCTCTGCACCCGCCACAAAGCCAGCATTTCATATGCTCTAACATTTTCCACTTTTTCATTCATTTTTCCTCCTCCTGCTTCATGGCTTCTGAGGCTTGTCACAGAAGCAGCTGCTTCTACTGCTCTGCCTCAGGTTCTAGGTTTGAATAAGGGGTGATGTCATGAGGTCATGCACCTTTTATGTTGTTGGAATCCATGCGAGCATACAAGTCCTCTGATCACAGCCCCTATAACAGAGATGTAGTGTAGGATACTTGGAACCAGCTTAACTGGTAGGCTGACCAAGATAAAAATTCTCCTTGTTTCTTGTGTGGAATAGTCACTGCACCAACCGCTGCTTGAGATATCAGCTAAGTCTTATTGAATAACTTTTTTTAGTCAGCCACAGCTTAGGTCTTAGACATGTTTCACTATTTTTGTCCTTGAGCTATGATGAAAGAAAGGACTTAATGTTTTAGTATAAGTTATAGGCAGGGATTTTTGCAGGTGATATCTATTATTGGACCAGCTTTGTAGTTGGGAGGGACATAGACAAGCTTTTGGGTACCACTATACCCTTCCTCAGGTCTCTAAGGAAAAAAAAAGTAGACACAGCAGATTGAAATAGCTGATAGCAAAGTTCCAGGTATTTTGATAAGAACAGGATATAAAAGATATGATCAGGTAGCTAACAAATGAGAGATGTAGTAAGCAAGTGTAACCTGCGGAGAGATCAGTGGAGACCGGATATTGATGATCAAGTGATGATCAAGCTGTTGAGGCACAGAAACAATATTGTTAATTGACTCTGTCTCTTTTGGTTGGTTGGTAGGGTCCCATTCAGTCCACTGCACAATGCTTCAAGCTGCTTCCCTTAAGATCATCTGGTATTTTCTGATGTCAGCTCAGTTAAGCTGATCAAACAGAAAACAGGGGTTGCTCAAGAGGGAAACACATGATGTCACTTAAGTATTTCTCTGGTGGCTGGTCCTATGAGTTCTTATATTTTCCAATGTTGTCTTTGGTTTCCTAGATCTGGCGTGTTGAAAGCAGTGGCAGAATCCCTGTAGATCCTGAGACATACGGAGAATTTTATGGTGGTGATTGCTATATTATACTGTATACTTATCCTAAAGGGCAGATCATCTACACGTGGTATGTTCTGTTCACATTACATTGATCTTTACTCCATAGATACTATTAAATTCTGATTTTGTGAATAATGCTACTGAAACCAGTGGAATTACTCATGTTTAAGGACTGCACCAGGTATTTTGCTTGGAAGATACTCTTTGGGCTACTTTGAAACTGGACTTCAACTGTGTTTCTTTCTGTTTCTTCCTAGGCAAGGAACACATGCAACAAAAGATGAATTGACAGCATCTGCTTTTTTGACTGTCCAACTTGATCGGGCACTGGACGGACGGCCAGTGCAGGTTGGTGTTTTTCTGATGAGTTTAAGCAGATGTGCCTTATTCCTTTGAAGGGGCTGGTCAATCTCTCTGACTTCCTAGTAACACTGTATTTTAGGTCACACTGCTAATTTTATCAGGGCTTTGTTTGTAAGTGAGCATAAAAACAAATCTACTTGCATAACCCTATTTTCTTCTTCCACATTAGCTTAATTTAGAAATGAAATAAAACAAAAGTCCTGTCTGTTAGCTTTCTACCATCTTTTTCTCACTAATAATTCCACATATTCTCTTTCTTGTCTTGGGTTGTAATCTTTGGAATTTATCTTACTCTATTTGCAGGGTACCTGTATAATACTAGCTGGGTGACTTATGTTTTTCTATCTCATTATCATTAATAATCATCACCATATTTTTTTTACCTAATAACATGAAGAGGGTAGCTATGGAACACATTTCAGGAAGTTCTGTCTCCCTTTTACACAGATCCCACATAAAAAAGTCCAGGGTCATAGTAGTGAAGGGTTTATGTCAGTGATTCTCAACCAGGGTGCTGCCACATCTTTTGAAGGATCCTGTGAGGTGTGAAGAGATAAGCAGATAAGCCAGGCTCAAGCTTATTCTTAACTGGGAAATCCCCCACTCCTACTGCCCAGCCCTTTTGGCTGTTTCTCTAAACAGTGGGGGTGGTAGGCTCTTACAGGTTTAGGATCTAATGCATAGCAGATAACTTGTGCCTTTCCTCCCTTTATACTTTTCACACATATACAACCCCCAGGCTACAGGAAATCAGAATTACAGTGT